CCTACCAAACTCTGTTCATGGGATTCTTCGGGCAAGAATACTGGAGTGGGTAGCCATTCCCTTCTCCAGGGGATCTTCCTCACTCAGGGATCGAACCTGGGTCTCCTGCATCCCAGGCTGATGCCTTACTGTCTGAGCCACCAGGGGAGACCACTCAACATTAACTGAGTGCCTAAAACGTGTTCCGTCTGTACTGAGGAATATGTTAGACACTGACTCATGAATCTACCATTCTAGATGCAACCCGCTGGCCCTCTCGGGTTTCTAATGCTGCTGTGCTCCAAGCTTGGAATCCGAGTAGGACCACAGAAAGGGTTAAGATTTGGGGAAGCCAGGATCTGAATTTGGCCCTGTCACCACAGTGGATGCCTTCAATTTTGTCTCCCTGGTACTCCTTCCCTTTTGGGGTCACAGGATCTTGCTGTAGGGGGACTTCCTCTCCTTCAGTCCATGGCACCTGGCTACAGGATTGGGTCTGTGTCAGGCTTGGCCAATCATGGTATCCCTTTATCCTTGTCCAGAGGTTAGATAAGCATATCTCCCTCTCTGGGACAGGGAGAAGTGTTCTGTATTTCTTTGTGTAATATGGTAGGATTCATATGTTTCAAAGGGGGAGGGAATCTCTCTGTCTTGAGGGGATACAAGTGTAGAGCTTTTGTTAACCACATCCCCATCCTGCACTCCCCATACAGGTGAGAAGCTCTCTGCAGGGGAGAGGATGCAGGAAAGGCAAGAGATGGAGGAAAGCGAAGGAGGGAGGGAGAAGGGGGTGAAGGGAAGACGGAGGGAGGGAGGAAGGGAGAGAGAGGGAGAGAAACAGAGAGGGAGGGAGAGAGATCACAGACATGATGACATCATTGGAATCAATGAAGACTCTGGACTGGCTTCACCCTGGATTGCCAAGTGACACCAGCCAATAAATTCCCTGTGCTTTAAACTAGTGATTTTGACCTCCTCTCAGACAGAGGTGAGTGGGGCAGAGGGTAGCAAGAGAGTAAGGAATGACCACATTTCTGTAGACAGCTAGGAGGAAAAACAGCAAGGCTTCTGAAACAATTCTGTCTTTGCTTGTAATTATAGTTACATTGTTCTGGCTTCGTACCCCAATTGTGTTTCTACCAATAAGTGTTTAACAGGGGACTGAATGCGTATCTTGTCTCATGTTTCCCTTTGAGTGTAGATCTGATGTGAGGGTGTTCAGGGTGGTCTTGCCTCCCGTGTGGTTGATATGTCCCCCCCCAGGGCCTGGGATCTGTTGCTCCCCATTTTTCCTTCAGCCACTAACTGTAATATTCATACTTTCATCTTCATAGGGTGCCTTGTGCTCTGCAAAGTCCTTTCATCTGCATTATCTCATTAGATTCTCGGAGCATCTGTGAAGAAGGCAGGGCTGGGATGACTATTCCTGCCTGTCAGATTGAAAAAGAGGCTCAGGCCCTGGGATCTTGGCACTAAAAGAGAAAGACATGGGCAGGGCTTATGCAGTGATCTCATGGGGAATGAATGAGACAGAGGTGGAAGGGTCCCTGGATTTGGAGTTACACAAGTCCCAGGCTTGCATCCTGCCTTCTTTACTTTCTAGCCGCCTGACTTAAGGCAGATCACTCAGTCCCTCCCAGTCTTGTTTTCCCCTTCTATCAGGAACAGTGATGGCGTTTTCCTTTCAGAATTCCTGTGACTATCACAGGAGGTGATGTAGAATAAAGGTGAGCTGTAAGGTGCTGCTCACCTGTTCAGGGCTGGTTTTTCGGTGTGGTGGATAGTGGTGTGCCAGGTCCAGCTGGATAGGCTCATGAGAGCTAAACCATGGTTGTATGTATCCCCCTCCCAACTCCACACTCAGTGACATTGTGTTGGTAACTTGACGACAGCCATGGTGAGGATATTTTCATTGAGGAAATTGGCAAATGTCACAATTTTACCCTCCCTGCCAAGTCAGTTGTGAACTGGCACACCAATGGCAGTGAGGACAGAGGGAAAGAGAAGAAAAGGATACTAATATGTAGTTTCACCCTTGGAGCATCTTCTTCAGTCCATATGCAGATGCCATCCCTGTCTGACAGATGAGGTCATTAAAACCTAAAAAGGGTTGATCGCTTGTTCAAGAACACACTATAAATGAGAGAACAGGAATTCAAGTCAGATTTCACATTCTCTCTGATAACCATGCAGCATCCCAAAGCTTCTCCCAGTAGAGCTTGCTCTTTCCTTGATCTCTAACCCAGCAATAGTGAGATGTTAAGTCAGTTTCTAGGGCCACTTAACATGTAAGATCCCTGTTTGGACTTCAATATCCTAGTTTCTAAATAAAACTGGCTTGGAGAAAGATGGGAATGAGTGCAGGGCATTGAACTGGATACCAGGGAAAAGCTGACTGTCTGTGAGATCCACAGTTCTGGGTCTCAGTTGGATAAATGTTTCAGGGTCTCAAAAATTAGGCAAGATCATTAGGTTGGGCCACCTGAAGCATGAGGTATGGCAAGGGAGAAAGTCAAGTGCACCTGAGCCCAAGTGCCAGCTCTGCTACTTCACCTAGTGGGGGGTTAAACTGCCTCATCTGTCAGAGGGGGACAGCATCCCAATATACCTGTTTCATCTTATTGGGTTTCTATGGTATCAATGGGCTTCCCTGCTGGCTCAGTGGTAAAGAACCCACCTGCCAATGCAGGAGACATAAGAGACGTAGGTTTGATCCCTGGGTTGGGAAGATGCCCTGGAGGAGCCCTTCGAAACCCACTCCAGTACTCCTGCCTGAAGAATCCTATGGACAGAGGGACCTGGTGGGCTACAGTCCATAGGGTAGCAAAGAGTCAGCTATGACTGAAGTGACTTGGCACATATGGTATCAATGGTGGAAGGATTCTGAAGGCCTCTGGAATCTGTTGCACTTCACAGATGTAAGAAAATGATCATGTGTCTTAGCTGAGAACCTTTCCTCCTGTTGCTAAGAGAAAGGACTGCCTGTTTTCCTTTCCTGCCATCTCTGGCTCTTCCCCGCCCCCCAGCCCTTCTTTTCCCCTTCTATTTTTATACCTTGAGTGTTCATATGATGATGTCCTGAATGCTTCAAACTAGATGGGGATGGCAGACAGGAAAAAATAAATAAAAAGACCTAAACAAAGTGAAAATCTGTTTGTTGCTTAAGAAGATGACAGATGACTACAGAGGCTAGAGTTAGCTACAGGCTTTTCCCCAGATGCTGGGGTGAAATCTCCTGGGATCCAACATGTTACCCTGGACAGAACAGTTTCCAGAGAAAGATGATCAACCCTCTTTTCTTCCAGATGGAGACAGGGGTACAATAGGAGCATTTGGGAAGGTCCTGGGGGATTTAAAGGGGGACTACAGTAAGGATGAAATTAATGGTTATTTAGTAGCTCAGGTACCTTTACCATCTCACTTAATCCTTGCAATAATTTTATGAGATTATATATTATTATATACACTTGCCAGTTAAGGAAAGGATCCTCAGAAAGTGGTGGGAGAAGTCCACACTAAGGCTCCTGGGGTTCCTGGCAAGTGGCCTCTCACCCTCTAGACCTACTGGAAGAGGCGGGGGGCTCACTGTAGTTGTGCAGGCCAGAGAATGGAAAGGGACTTCTATTCAGCGCTGCACAGGAGCCTCTGATTATTTCCCCTCCCCCCCCTCCCCCCCCAAGCTCCCTCCAGTTGTTCTCTACACAGGAGCTGGAGTGAGCTTCTACAAACACAAATCATGCTATTTTCTATCCCTTAAAAATTACAGTTGTACTATCTCCAAAAAAATTGCCTACTGACATCCTCCTATAAGACCAGCCTCTCTCTTTAACCTCTGTATCTTATACCATTAGTCACCAGCCTTGATACATTTCAGCCACAGTTGGTTTCCCTCTGCTCCTCAAATGCATTCAACTCATTCCTGCCTCAGGGCCTTTGCACTTGCTGTTCCCTCTGCCTTTAATGCTTTCTGGTCTCAGGCCAATGGTCATTTTCTGAGAGTCCTTTTCCGATCCCCAGACTGATGTCCTACCCCAGCTTTTTCTTACCACACATCACCATCTTTTTAAATTGGTGTCATAGCAGTTATTACTGTCAGGTTTTACTAATTTACTTGTTTATCGTCTCTGTCCTCATACTAGAGTAAATTCAAGACCTAAGGATTACTTCTCTATCTTTTTGAAAGTCTTACCCCACTCCATAGATGAGACTGGCACAGTTAGCGTACAAATAAATTCTTAGTGAATGAGTGGATTGTTATTGATGTATTATTATCCCAGGAAGAGCAGACTTGCTGTGAGCAGGGAAAAGTCCTACCATTTGCTATCATTTAACTTGTGTAGAGATTGATGTTTATCTCATTTGGTTCTCACAATAATTCTATGAGACAGATAATATGGTCCCCATTTTGCAGATGAAGAGATGAAGCCTCCATCGTTTATTCGGCAATTTGCTTAAGATCTCAACAGGGGCAACTGGAACCCTTGTCTCCCTGTTCTTGTGCCCACACACTGGATCCTGGGGGAGGGCAGAACTGCCTCTCTGAGGATTCTGCTCGTGCAAGACAGTACATGTCTGCTGCCGCAAAACCTCATGTGTGTGAAGACTCTGCCGAGGATGAGGCTGTGTAAAAGCACGTGCAGGCCGAGAGTCTAGCGACAGCTCCCGGAAGACTTCCTCTAATAAACCGTCATTACTTGGCCTGAAGTCCAGATTTCTCTGGGGAATAGAGAGTCCCAAAATGTGAAGGCTGCGGAGTGGCTGCAAGTTTTGGCCTCGCTGTGTTTAGAGCTGGGAGGGAACTTATGAGTGGGTACTGAGGTCCTTCTTCCCTCCAGCGGTGCTCACGTCCTGTCCCGGTCGGCCTCGCCACTAATGCGGGCGCCTGCATTCTGCGCTAGGTGGCGAAATGCTGTGGGGCTCCCCTATTCGGGGGAATGCGGTAGTGATGTATAAGGTATGAAAGATGTGGCCTGCAGAGAGCCAGCACTATCTCTACTGCTGCCGCTACTGCTGCTGGCAGAGCTGCTGGGAGTGAGCATCCCCCGTCAGGGATACCCAGCTCCGCGGCATCTCCTGCGCCCCAAACGGACCTGCCACCCCCAGGAAACAAAAGCAGAGCCCCCTCGCCCTCTCCTGCTGCAGCCGGAGAATGAGTCGAGAGGGCTGAGCGAAGAGTGTGGTCCTCGGCGGCCGGCGGGGAAGGTAGGAGAAGGTGTTGCGCTCGCTCACTCAGGCGTGGGAGGCTCGGGGTGGGCGGGCAGGGGCAGGGGCAGCAGAGGGGAGCAATCTGTCCCCGGGGTGCTGCCCGGCCCGGCGAGGTGGTCATCTGGAACGCAGTGCCCGCACCGCCTGCCCGCCCAGCGCAGGGCGGGTGCGGAGCTCCCGCAACCGCGAGGGAGCCCCCTGGGTGGAATCGGAAACGGCTGGGGGAAAAGTCCAAAGCCGAAGCCTCACAGGCAGCGGTCCAGGGCACTCGGTGACGCGCGGCTGGCTGTGAGGCAGGCGGCGTTGGCTGCAGCGTGCGCAAAGTTTTGGGTGGCGCGCAAAGGCGCGGGCGAGGGCCCTGCGCAGCGCAAGTTGCGGCCGCAGCCAGAGGGCGAACCCCGGGGTGGGGGTGACGGTGCTCCAAACGGACTCCCCGACATTGAGACTGGCGGCTTTTGCTCCCCCAGGCCTGCCGAGGCTGGGTTTGCCCTCAGCCATTTAACCCTTTCTGACCTGGGAGAAACAACTTCATCTTCTTCGGAGGCGGCTGCACTCAGGCTGGCTGGGTGGCGTCGAAGCTCCCAGCTTAGTCCTTTTGAGGTTTTGCGAGTTTCCCAGCACGCGTTCTAGGTTTCTGTTCTTTTCTGGCCACCTCTGTGTTCAAAAACCAGGCAAGCTGGCTGGGGCAGGGTATCTTTCCCCGTTGTCTGTAATTTTACCCCCTGTACCACCCAGACGCATGTCTTCTCTTTTCCCACTCAGCTTGGCTCTTTGATGCTGTCTTGAAAAATGAGATGATTAATCAATTAGGTTAGTGGCCAATTAGGCATAACCTTGTAGAAAAATAATTATGCCCAGCTTTCTGGGCTTTTACTGTTGATGAGGTGGGAATCCAGCCCAGGTGGAGGGGCTGTTCTAAAAAGATAGGGCTGATCAGGGAATTTCTGGAAATTTAAGATTAAAAAGATTCAAACGTGTGGTAGTGGCGGAGGTTGTGCGGGTGCTGTAGGGGTGTGTGAGAGAGAGAAAGAGAGAGAGAATCAATTTTTGCAGAGGAAATTAACCCTTGTCAGCTCGGTCTAGAAGGACTTAGTAGGCAGCATGTTCCAAACAGCTCAGTAAAGGTGTGTCCCCTGCTTGCCTTCCCCATCCCCCTCAACGCTGAGGGGCTCTCGCCTGTAAATCGCCTCACAGTCGCTTTGCTTGTTGCTTTGGGAGGCTGAGTTCCGATGAATGCATTTAGTTTCATGTCCGAGGAATCGCGTCGTTGCAGAGGGAGGTTTCTATGCTGTGCCTTCCGAGGATACACATTTCCCCGGCTTGCGTTCAGTAAAGCGGTTACTAAACGGGTGTAAAACAGAGACAATCTGTTACCGGAGCTGGGAAGTTCTTGCTGCTGAGCGAGTCTTCCTTTTGCTTTTGGGGGAAGGACTGGCGGGGTTTGGCACTGCGGTATTACAATACAGCCATATTAAAAAGGTCCTCAGAGCCTAGAGCCGTCCACCACTGCAGCCCCATCTCCCACAGACTTTACTGCTCAAATCCTTCTTGCGGGCAAGATGCAGTGGATTTCTGATGTGTACTGAGTGCATTTTTAACCCCATTCTGTTTCTATTTTAATCTTCTTCTGTTTATATCTCTGGACCCTGGAAAGTAGATTTCCTGTTCAGAAGGCAAAAACCTAGAGGTGTTCCCAGGGTGGAGGCATTTTTGCAACAGGTCCTAGGTCTGGGTTTTCTGATAATGGGTCCCCCTGGCATTTAGCAAGCTGGGGACCTGATTCCTTCACCAGTGACCCTACTGGGGTGAAACAGAGGGTCCCTGACATCCCCTGCAGTGCTGACTGTAACTGGTTCTGAATTGTATGGCTTTTCTTCCTTTCTGAGCTGATCCAGAGCAGTAGCTAAGCAGTGCAGCGAGGCAGTGGCTGTGCCACCTCACTCCCAGTAGAATGGAGGGGGACTGATTGGGGCTTATTGGCAAATAGACATGGTGCAGCTGGAAGACTGCCTAGTGATACTGCTGTCCAGGGACAACTGGGACCCATATGCCCCACCTGCCTTCATTGGAATCAAGGGCCACCATTCAGTCCACTCTCTTTTACAAGATTTTTTTTTCCTTGTCTTTTCTTGAAGCTGGACTCAGCTAGTCACCTTACTGTGACCCTATTTGTTGGTCTGACTCTTGTGCTAGCAAAAGCCTTGCTCCTTTTCTAAAATCAAAGCTTTTTTATATAATGGGAAGGGATATAGGGTCGGGGGAGAAGGAAGGGAGAGAAGAGGTAAAGAAGAGGCGAGGGGGGGGCAGTAGTAAGAGAGAAAGAGACAGCGTAAGACTTCAAATACAGACAGTGGGAAAGAGGAGGGAGAGATGGAGAACAAGAAAGGAGGAGGGAGAGAGGAGGAGGAGGAGGCGGAGGACAAGGACGGGGAGGGGGAGGAAGAAGAGGGAGACACAGGCAGGGGGAAACAGGAGGAGTTCCAGACTGAGAAGGGTAAAGAAGGGCCCACATGAAGCAGAGTTTTGTATTATATGAATTTTTTTAAATGCAAAGGAAAACCCCAAACTGCAAAAGACTCATTGCCATTAGACTAGCTTGGACCTCAGCGTTGACATCATCAGATAATGACTTAGGAAAGAAAGCCATTAGCTCTGTTTCTTCTTTTTTCCTTGGCTTACACTCCAGTTGTCAGTATGGAGGGTCAGAGTTCCAAAGGGAGTCAGTTTGCTTGTGCTTTCATGGCCCCAAGAGCATATTCTTGTTTAGGTCAAGCTGGGGCACTCCATTTGGACACGCTGGGTATTGGAATGACTTTGGAAGGGAGGCATCCTTTGTTTTAGATTTGTCTTCCATAGAATTGACTTTTTAAAAAATAGTGCATTCTTAATGTATTTAACCTTGGGGGAAAGAAGAATAATAAAGGATAGTGTAGTGAATGCTTTTACCTGCCACCCGGAGCTAAGAGTAATGGGAAAATCATTACAACTTGTCTTCACTCCAGCCTCTTGACTCTGGTCCAGAGTATTCTCAGCACTTCCCAACTCATACTGGAGAGGGACCTCCAGTATGGTCCCTCTCCACAGGTGTGACATCATCTTCTAAAGGGTTAGGATTAGGGTTAGACTTGATCAGAACACACCAGAGTTTCCCTATTGCCTAAAGCATGTTATTCAAATCACTGACCATAAACTTCAAGACCTTTCATAGCCTGGCCTTCTTGCTCCCTCTCAATGGGCCTCACACATACATAGATACATTCTCATACACACACATCTACACACACATACATACCACTACATGCATGCATACTAATAAACAAGCTTACACTCACACATACAGCATTACCACAGACGCTTTCTCTCTCCTACACACACACATACACACATAGACACTACACTTCTATTTTACATGCGTACCCTACACAGTTTTCATACCTTTGCAGGTGCAGACTTCTTTTCTTGTCTGTAAAATACCTCCTACTTTTTTACCTGGAGTCCACTCATCTTTCAGGATCCATCTCAAAAGTGGCATCCAGTCAGAGATCCTTTTCCCTCAGGAAGCCATGTTCCCTCAACACTCTTAACACACTTCCTTGGAAGTACAATCCATGTGTTCTCTCTCAGTAGATTGTAAGTTCCTTCCAAGTGAGGGTAACTTATCCACCTCTTCAATCTCAAGGTGTATATAACAGTAGTGGGTGCAAAGCTATGTGAGCAAAGGTCAATGGATACATTCATCTCAAGAGCTTCTAGAGGATGATTAACATTCATAACATGTTTTTTCTTATTTTATCTTGCTCTCACTATTTTTATATTTTTTATTTTGATCACAAAAATTTTAAAAATTCAAATGGTATGTGTAAAAAGTGATAATTCTCCCCACTCCCACCTAAATACCCTCTGATTTTTAATGCACATGCTATTAAATACTTGAATTTCTTCCTGAGCTTTGTCTTACATTGTATTTTCTTAGCTAGATCACATGCGGGGATCATGTAGTATATATCTGTATGTATATGCTGTAATTCCTAATGAATAGTTGTATATGTAGTAAGTGCCCAGCAAATATGGCATAAGTGAACACATACTAATTTGTTTTTTTTAATTACATTAAATAAATTGCTTCATAATACTCACAATAGCCTTGTGTGATTAGTGTTATAATCTTTATTTTACTAATAGAGAAAGCTAGGTTCCAAGAGGTAATGTAAATTGGTCAGATTAGAAAGGGAAGTGGGAGTGGGGTCCGGATTCAAACCCAGATCTTGTTCATTTTATTGCCTCTGCTCTTGCCACTGCACCCCATGAGTGGACCTGTGGGCACCGAGAGGAGAAGCATCTAACTCAGGTTTGTATGCCCAATATTTGCTCAGAGCTTATGAGTCTGTGGAGCCCGTAACCCATACCTTGTCAGGTGTCATTATCCTTTTAGGGATGAGAAAGGAAGGCACATGTGAGACGTTCACAGGACTTGGCTCAGCCCCTCGATCCAGGAAGAACCCAGGACTGGGGCACAAGGCTCATTCTCTCTTCTCAGATGTGATAGTTGATCCCAGAAAGGGAGAGGGCAACTTCTGCTTTCCCTTTAGTGCATGACTCAGTGGGACAGAAGAATCTAGCGGGTAAGGCTGCTTCCTGAGAAGGGGCGTGTATTGTGGTGCTCAGCCCTAGTAGGGTCCACATTTCCTGGGACTGTTAGAAACTCCCTTTTTGAATGCTCATCTTCATGTCTGACGTTTTCTGAACCATAACTGTGGATGGAGTTACTTTCTTGAGAGTTTGGTGAGCAACCGTGGACATAGTTTGTGATTCAGTAGTTATGCTACAACACCTAATGGGATGGTTTGAAATTTTGGTTTTGGGATATTTTGTCAGTGAGGCATCCACCAGTGCTGGAGGCCTCCAGAACTTGGCATAGGTAGCAGCTGCCGTCTGAGTGGGCTACAGCTCCTGTTAATTGGTGCATCACTGACTCTATGGACATGAGTTTGAACAAG